CAGGATTCTGGATGCAAAATATACTTTCGTAAGTAAACTCTCTTGTGCTTTGTACACTTTCCATTTCTGCATTTCTTTGTAAATATCTACTTTACATATTCTGTATGTTTAAAACAAAGATGATTATTTCAAAAGTAGGTTATAGAGTGCTGAAGCTACTGTAATTAGCTGAGCAGAAGGATGGCATTATGTGAAGAAAAGGGAAAACACACACAGGCAAAGGTGGCTGAGCCCTAAAAGATATGTGAATTAAACATTCTTCAGAGTACAAAAACAGCAGAGGAGGACTTTCTCCTTTAAACCCTCTTTCACTGAGAAGAAACATAATTATTTTTGGTGAGGATAGAGGCTTGTTTTGGGAGAAGAAAGAAGTGTTAACAATGGCTATTTATTGCCAAGTAGGTGTCAAGTCTTATGTGGAGCAATGACTATCACTGATGATGTAACAAAACTAATCTACGAAAATGTATCTTTTTCATTTCACAGAATCACAGAATCGTTTAGGTTGGAAGGGACCTCTGGAGATCATCTAGTCCAACCTCCCTGCTCACGCAGGTTCGCCTAGAGCATGTTGCCCAGGATTGTGTCCAGATGGCTTTTGAATATCTCCAGCAAAGGAGACTTCACTACCTCTCTGGGCAACCTGGTCCAATGCTCTGTCACCCTCACAGGAAAGAAGTTTTTCCTCATATTCAGACAGAACTTCCTGTGTTTTCCATTTGTGCCCGTTGCCTCTCATCCTATCGCTGGGCACCACTGAGGAAAGTCTGGCCCCATCCTCTCGACACCCCCCCTTCAGATATTTGTACATATTGATGAGCTCTCCCCTGAGCTTTCTCTTCTCCAGGCTGAACAGGCCCAGCTCTCTCAGCCTCTCCTCATAGGAGTGATGCTCCAGTCTCTTAATCATCTTGGTAGCCCTCCACTGGACTCTCCCCAGTAGTGCCATGTCTCTCTTCTCCTGGGGAGCCCAGAACTGGACACAGGACTCCAGGTGAGGCCTCCCCAGGGCTGAGGAGAGGGGCAGGATCACCTCCCTCCACCTGCTGGCAACACTCTGCCTCATGCACCCCAGGATCCCATTGGCCTTCTTGGCCACAAGGGCACACTGCTGCCTCATGTTTAACTTGTTGTCCACCAGCATTCCTCTCCGCCCAGCTCTCCAGCCTGTCCAGGTCCCTCCGAATGGCAGCACAGCCTTGTGGTGTGTCAGCCACTCCTCCCGGATGCTGATGATTTGTATCATCAGCAAACTTGCTGAGAGTGCACTCTGTCCATTCATCCAGATCCTCGAGGAATACGTTGAACAAGGCTGGACCCAGGATTGACCCCTGGGGGACACCGCTAGCTACAGGCCTCCAACTAGACTTTGCGCTGCTGATGATAAGCCTTGGAGCTCTGCCATTCAGCCAGTTCTCAATCCGCCAAATTTTTAAAAAAAATTTAACAGCAAATATTTGTTTTCCTTTAATGAAGAGTAGGGTGCAACCATCCAGCTGTTAATAGAGTAACTTCAGATTAATTTACAAATTGTTCTTTATGCTTTGTTTTAAATGTAAGATATCCTTATACAATGCATTTGTTTAATTCCTTTCATCCCAAAGTGCTTTAAAAAGTGACACTGGAGGGAAGAAACCCCATGGACCAGAACATCTCGTATACAGAGATCATCTCACTCCCACCGCTGCAATGCAGCTACATTTGCTGTGCAATGCAGCAGCTAACAGCACAGGGCAACATGTAGACATCCAAAGGTCAGAGGGATCAGATCCAAGGGGAAACTACCATGAATGGACATTACCTGAGCTGAAATCTGCAGCTGGGGAAGAGTATTTCTATTTTTACCTTTTGAAAAGCTGATGTCAAATTGCCATGAATCTGAAGACACCAGCAAAAGAAGTGCAGGTTTATTGTCAGCTTAAGACCCAGCCTGACTCTACACCAAAGATGTTTTCTCCATACCGTTACTCCACATTTGAAACTTATTTCTCTGTGGAAGAGTAGCAGACACATGCACCCACCTAGCTACGGTCAACAGCATGAGCCAGGGGCACTCAGCTGTGAGGGAGGCAAACGCAGAACCAGGATGGTAACAGCCACTCTGGCTTCAGCCCTTTCAGAGCAAGATGGGTTCCAAAGTAGTACGTACATATTCTCCCAGCTCTGGGGACAACAACTTATGTTTCACATGGCTACTCACCCTTGGCAAGTGATACCATATGCCAGTATGGCTATAAGGAAAGGAGTACCCTGAGAAGCAACTGAGAAGCAACATAGTTAAAAATTAAGTGCAAAATTCCTGTAGAGTTATTTATATACAGAGCTTACAGTCATGCCCAGGTACACAGACAAGTGCATTTTTCAGTACTCAGTCATTGCCACTGATAATAATTTCAAGATCAATTGATGGTGGTGATATCCCCCTTATTATTCTACCTGTGCACCATCTTTTCTTTTCAGGTGTGTACTGCTTTTTCATCAGGAATCACATACAGTGTATCTTCTCTCTTCCCAGGGCTTCAGTTTCAGCTCCTATATAACAAACTCATTCCACTTTTTTTCTGGTTGGTGCAGGGTGCTTAATGGACTGGAGACTCAGGAAGCCCTTCAGCATTACATTGCTGTTTGTGACACCAGGTTTGGCAGTCTGCTAGACTTGATGCCATAAACCTGTATTTGATAGAGATGGATGGTTCAGAACACTCAATGCGAAGGTTCATACGGCATTTGCTCAGCAACCCATGTTGGCAGTCTGGCTCACATTTGAATCACAACCTATTTATGCAGTAAATATTTATGTGGACATACAGTGAAACATCTTGTTTTCAACTGCATAAAAGTGGTGGCTGGTTCACTCTCCATTCTCCAGGTGCTGATTTCATTCCTTTCCTTCCCTCTGTCTTTCCCTTCCTTTCTTCCATCTCACTACTGCTGTTGTCCTGCACTGCTTACATCGTGATGATAACGTAACAGAAAACAATTAAGGAGCAATAGTGACATTATCAATACCAGTTTGACTTTTCTGATTAGCAGAGTACTCAGCTAACAACAGCACCCAGGGCTGAACTACGTTCCCCTCTGTTCAGAATACATAGAGGATTCAGGAATTGAGTTGTCCAGGCTTGGAGAATGAGGAGAAGAGAGAGAAAGAACAAAATATTCTAGAAAAAGTAACTGAAATTCCAATTTTGAAACTTTGCTTTCCAGATTGTGCAGGTACAGTGACCTCTTTTGCCAGATAAAATCTTGATACCCCTTACCCTATAATCTGAATTTACTTGTCAGTTAGTGATAAAAATATCTTCTGCCTATCCGGCCAGTTCTGAAAATCAATGCCAATGATGAGAGATATGGTCTTGACTTGCACCCCAAACAGAAGATACTAATGATTACTCTCTTGATAGTTCCTGAAAGGGATTCTGAAGGAGTAAAATCACTCTTTATAATCTATCTGGACAAGGCCCAATTTTTTGCTCAGTATGCAATTTGTAATATAAAATGATACAGGAGATCCTTCTGATCACCTAGTTTCTTTCCATCCTCTTGCATAACGTCCTGTGGCTGCTTCTGCTTTAAGAACCCACAGTCATGATTTTCAGATACTTCTAGATATTTCCTTACTGAAATGTCAGCACGAGCAGAAAAAAACTATCTGAACATTGGCTCCCTCAGCCTCTGCTGCAGTTCTGCATCCCTGGTAAGAGTGACATACCAAAATTGACTCTTACAATTAAAAAAATTAAAAAATGAAAAAAGTTAAAATAATAAAAAAGGGGCTTCAGAAGGGATATGGTCAGAATGGACCATACGGACCATAGTCAGAAGCTGATATGGCTCCTTCTTCACTATATTTTGCTATTGCCTTGACTGTTGTACATATTTTTTCTTTTTATTATTTTTATATACCTCCATATGTCCTTGCACCAATCCTCTCCAAACTGTGGACAGGATCTGGTTCTAAAAGCTAGCAAGAGATGAATGTGATGAATGTAAGATGAAATTTTAAGGTGGTTCCCTTACAATCACTTCAAAATTCCAGGAATCAGTGTCTCTCTCCAGAAATAATAAAAAAAGATAGTCTTCGGAGCAACGACTCACTTCAGCACACACCTCCTATTTACTACATGAATACTGTCATGGCTTTTAGGGAAAACACTTGTCTCTACACAGTTAAGTAGATGTTTAAGCAGCTCTTCTGGATCACAGTCTACTGGTAAGGAGCTTCAAGGAAAAAGAATCACATACAATTCTTCCAGCAAAACCAGCATATACATGGACCAAGTACAAAATAAAGAAAAGTAAGTCAGTTCCCAGCAGAATTGACAAATAAGCTTATGCTCAAACTACAATATTATGATTTCTTCTCTTCTTCCTTAAATATTCACCGTTTTCTCCAGCCAGATGAAAAGACTGAACAGAAATATAGCTGAGAAAACATCTAAAAATGACACCCATTGAGATATGACAGAATTCGCAAATAGGGGATGGAGAAGAAATCTCATGTGGTTTACCTGATCCGAGCCCATAACGCTGAGTTTACCCCCAGTTTGATGCAGATAGCAAAGAAAGCATGAAAAGCTTTATAAATGAGCAGTCAAATAAAGAGGAATCTTTAATAGTCCATAGTCAGAAACAAAAAATCAAGTAGGTTCCTTACAATTCATGATTAAGGGTAAAATCAGATCAGGGCTAAATTCCAAGTACTGCTTATGATAGTGCTCCAGCATTAGCTATGGTTTTAAATTGTAGTTTTAATTTGCTAAAGCTAATGTTTTGGGTATTGAAAGTTACAGGAGTAAAAAATATTACCACTAAAGTGTTGCTCAATGCAGTTTGAAAGGAAAGTAAAAAGAATGTTATAGACAGTAAGCATTCCCTAGTACGCATGCCCAGTAAAGACTCCACCTGGATACTTGTGCCCAGCTTCAAAACCATAAAATGAGATAACAAAGTAACCTGGAAGCCACAGAGACAAGAATAACTCCGAATGATATATTTACCATTCTTCTGAGAGGTCACGGGTTCATTGCTTGTGTTCAGTGCAGAAGTGAGGTTATAGAAGGGTCACAAATTGTGATATACAGTAAACAGGCACACTACCTGCAGGAAGAAAGGCAAGGAGAGTATCCATGTCTGTTTTGGACTCAGGTATTAATGAAAAAAAGGTTACAGTTGTTTTTATTGGAGCAGTTATAACAGAACTTTTTATGCAAGAACTAAAATTTTACAGAAGACCATTTTTTTTTATATCAGATACAGTTTCTCTGTCCTTCAGGCCCTGTCTCTCACTCTGGTTTTAGGTATGGCGTTTACCCTAAAAAACACAGAAATAAATTTGCTGAGCAGAAATAATATTTTTTTTGATGAGTTTAAGATTGGAAATAAATAAATACATTCTTATATAGAGCTTAAAATATGCAGATATTTAGTATCAAAGTAAAATATCCTGGGCAGGTTTAATATATTCATATTGTCCTTAATGGCATATAATTCAGTCCTTAATGGCATATAATAATCATTATTCCTGCTTCTATTCACTGGTGGTTTCATGTTGGATACCTATAACATTTTCTCTTGTGGTGGTAGCTCATGGTGTGTGTATTAATAATAATAGGAAGAAGGTAGGAAAAGTGGAAATGCCAGCAGTTTGGCTGCCGACAACAATAGGGGACGTATGTCATTCCACGTCCAGCAGATTCTCATTTTGATGAGTTGTATCTTGAAATAATTTTGAAATAAGGTAAAAATTATTTCTTCATAGCTAATCAAAAATTTCAACAAAATCAATTCTTTCTTTGCAAAATGTTAATTTTGAAGGTCATGTTTTGTTAAGAAAGTGTTTTGCCAGATATCTTTCAAACAACTGTGATATCACATGTAAGATAAACTATGCCTTAAAAAAAGCTATGCTTGCAAATTCAAGCATTTAAACATTCAATATTATCAGAAATAAGCTAGTTTTTTCAGCAATATAACCTTATTTTGGCCAGTTGGACTCTTTCACTATGGTACAGTCAGCACTTGCTGCAGTTCCTCACTCACTGCTTCTTCACCGACCTACTTCTTGCTCATCTTTCAATATTCCAAGCAAATATAGCTGTTAGCAGTGAAAGTGAAGTCAATAGCTTTCCTACGACTCATTCTGGTGATCACTGCTGCAGCAGACCCGACTTGCTTGGAGGGAAATTTGATGGGGAAATCTCACTTCAGTCTGTAAACTGGTACTGGGACGTTCACATTCACTTATGTGGATGGTGCAAGGACAGTCCCTCAACAGCTAAGAGATGTGATAGAGTAAAAGCTGTTTGGTACAAACACAATCTTCAGAAAACTACTTTGCAAACTAGCAAGCAGGCATAAATCTGACCCGTTTTTCTCTCTCCATCCCTTTTCCTCTCAGCTGAATTTCAAGTACCCTTCTGAAAGCTTGGAAGTACTAAACTTTTTTAGCAAGAATGCCATAAATAATCTGGTCACAAAATCATTGTAGCTGAAATTTGAAAAACTTCCCAGGGTGAGGTAAGACATCTGCCTTTGAAGATTTTTTTTGTCCCAAATGGTTTATGCTAAAGTAAGTCAATGGCATAGTCACACCAAATTAAAATAAAGTTTTTTGGGAGATGGGACAACTTAACATTATTGACTTTCCTGTCTGCTCTACTTACAATGGCAGTATACACGGTATGTTTAGTCCCCTTGTCGTAATTACGAGTAACACTAGATATGCATACAGTTCTAATCTCTGTGCCCTCAACATGTCATATTTTACAGGCTCACTGATTTATAAAAGGAAAATTGCTGCATTTCACACAATTAACCTATACCTCAGATAAGCTGTTCCCCCAATGTACTGGAGTATGCTTGATAAAAAATCCTGAGATAATCTGTAACCACAGATAATTATCCAAAATCAGAGGCAGAAACCAAAAGCAAGAAGCAGTAGGAATTCTCATGGCAAAGTGGAGGGAATATTGGGAGACAGCTGCAGGACAGAAAATGCAAGTACGGGCAGAAATGTGTTTCAGACTTTTCCTAGAATTCTCTATATGTTGCCGTAGGTTGCACTGCTGCCAAATCAATTTGTTTGTGTAATCCTTAGGCTACAGGTATGTTAGGCTTGTCCTCAAAACCCATGAATTATCAGTTCACACAGAAAGCTTTTATGGTTCTTTCTTCTAGTATCTTTGCTAGAAACGCACACAATAATGATTAAAAAATATTTTTCTCTGTTGCTTTTGTACCATGCACATTTTTTATGGTGCTGTCATTGTTACTGCATTTCTAAGGCTAGCTCCTTTTGCCAAGAGTTAGCCTGCAGAGTTAAGTGATATTCAAAGTATAATTCTGTCCATAAGCTTTTTTGAATGCCAATATCTTGACAGGAATTGCTATGCATTTATCAGCTGTGATATAGATAGTTCCATTAAGTTATCTCCGTGTTAGACTATTCTGGAAGCTTTTCCAATCACTTAAAACTTAAAACTTAAAAATGAATGTATTAAAAGTGTTACATGCTATAAGATACTTTTTAGTTAAGTTATCTGTATGTCATAGGAAGTAAACTATGTCTTAGGTTTTGTTTCCCATTATTAGTTGTATGCATCTATGCCTATTTCTCCTATGGCTTCACTACCTGTGCAACATATCAGGGTGCAAGATGTAAAACACTGTGTGCTATTGCCAAAAGCTCAAGTGATGTAGATTCACCAACAGAAGCTCTGACCTGGTGACTCTGACTTACTGATTTCAGAGCAAATAATTAGGCGTCAAGAACTTTTCATATGATTTTGCACAAATTCTATAGGACTCAGACAGTGGCAGAGAAATGCCATTTAGGGACAGCATAACTGTAATTCTTTTCCTCCCATATCCACTCTCCTGACTGAAGCTGGCAGCTAGGTACCATCACTGGGGCAGTTCACAGTGGTTCAGCACTTTAGTTAATGCATCAAGTGACCACTAGAGCAGGAGCTTAGTGATCTTGATGGATAGCCCTTTTTGTTTACATTTAAGTTTTGATTAAATTTTTCATCAATTTTTGGCTAACCACTTCATCTTTCCCCTCAGTAATTTCCCTCAACTAGCTCTACCCTTGACAGATTGGATAAACTTATTTTGTTGCAGCTGCTGAGGAATATGAAAGGATCTATAGTAGAAGTCTACTAAATCATTGCTGAAGTAATTGGGAGGTGATGAGTTGCAGTCTGGCGCTCCTAGGTACTGAAGTAAGATATAGGGATGACATGGTAGATCTTACCCAACACTAAACATTGGAGATCTTTTCTCTGAGATATTTAAACCCTAATGGGACCAAATGAAAGTGAAAATAGGTATAGATGAATGAAAACATTGCAACAGTCCCATGGCTTATATTACATATTACTAGAGATGCATATATAGCATATTATCCATTAAAGAACAGGACAGATTGTTAACTTAGCATATTGGTATACATCATTTCTAACTTTTACAAAATAAAGAAAGGATTGATAGCACTGAAATGTGAAAAATTGCACTTCTCTATGACTTGAAATAAACTAAAGTGTGCACAACCAAAATTTTACAGCACCTTAAAAGATGCAAAAAGCTGGTTCCCAAAGGTACAAAATATATTTATTAATAAAGATTTGAATCTACTACATTACAAGCCCCCTTTTTAATTCACCAGAATTTACATATTGTTCTCTAGAAGATTTGTGACATGGTGTTCTTAAGCACAGTTCTCATTTCTGATTCACAACTTATCTAATCATCGCAATTCTGAATGTCTTATTGGCCAAAATGTTTAATGACTTTTTTCAGAGCTGGATAGAAAAATGAGTGCAGTCTACTAGTTAGTCAAAAATCAATTAATTCCAAGTTAAAGTGTACGGTATTTACAGAATACCAAGTTTTCTTTCAATGCTTAAGTCATTGTTTAACTCCTCACACATAAAGTGACCCATCTACTTCTTTTACCTCATAAAAACTACTGTTTTTCTATTTCAAAAATTGCTACAGAAACTCTGCCTTTGTTATCATTCTTGCACTTCACTGTCTATGAAGAATGTGCTGTTGCTAAAGAGAAAAACTAAATTCACCTTACACAGTTAATAATGAAAAAAATGTATTTTTCCTTTTTGGTTGTGGTAGTGGGGAATGTTGTCACAGATTTCAGAAGCTAATTAAAGCCCATAAGTACATCTTTCAAACAACCTCCTTTCACAAGTGATCTAAACGTTATTCCTTGCTGCTAAACCTGTGGGATTTTTGTACTGGAATGGTAGATGAGGTATGTTATCAATCACACAAGGCTCTATTAATTTTATCACAACTCCAATGGCTGTTGACATTAAATGGCACAAATTTGGCCATTGTGGTCCCTGAGGTAGTGCATCCTCACATCCTTTCAAATGCTAATTATATTTTTGACCTTAAAAAAAAAGACTTTTTTTTTCTCCTTACCGAGCCCCCTTTCCCTCCCTCCTCATAGCACAAACATTTTCGCAGGACCATTTCTCTGCCCACATTGCTTTGCTTTTCTCTTTTTAATTCCCTCCCCTCCCTTTTTTTAAAGCATCCTTATAAAATTTCAATAGCTATTCTAGGGGAAGGGTTGCTACACAGTAGTGCTGACATTAGCTTTCACTGAGATGAAGAGAAGAGATCACTTGATGATGAAGACATTTCAAGGACACCACCGATATGGAATAGCTTTCTCTCTGGGTCAGCCAGTGTTTCAGATTGCTTAATTACTGCAAATTCACACAGGTAGCTGTGATGAACACATGGAAAGCCATTAGGAGGTCTCATCTATTGTTTAACTTCAGAGAGAAAAAAGATAATTGTTGAAATGGTGAAAGAGTTCTGCTCAAGCTTTTCATAGGATATCACCACTTGCCAGTCACTGGGAACAGTCTAAAACAGTTTTTGTCATGTTCATATTAATATTAGGCATATCATTATTAAACAAAATGGCTCTGTCATATCTGTCCCAAGGTCAGCTGAATTACAACAGCAGTTTTGTGTCTTTTTAACAAAAAAAGGGATATTTTGTACTTTATTTATTTGGATTTTATTGCATTCCACTTTACATCCTCCTTTCCAAAATGTTGGTGCTT